ATCCTTTATAATTTTTCACGAATATATATGCAGAACTTATAAAAGATTTTCCATTTACTAAAGATTTTCGTGCACTTCAATGGGTTTTGAGATTTATTTTAAAATAAATCTAATATACCATTAATAATTTGTCTTCATTTACATTTCCAGCGGATTTTAGATATTTCAAATGACTTTATTTAAAAATTATATAAAATTCCAATGGATACTAGTAGTATATCAGATAAATAAAGATGTTTCATATCAGTTGATAGACATTTCAGGGATCAGCATAGGGACATGTTTTAATTAGAGAGATTGACATGCATGTCGATCATTTTTATAAATCATTTTTAGCCTGTTAAAAAATAATTCTATATAATAATATAAACTGAAATTTTACATACAATTTCACACTAATGTGAAGCTATAGTATGTCAATTTTTATCGTGATTGAATAAATATTGAGCTACTTTTACTAATAGCAAATTTTTGATAACTGAAAAATTGCTAAACTTCATAGTGCTCTAACTCTAAAAATGACATTTCACTATAATTTATAATATTAAGACATGTGAAATCATGAGATAAAAAGAATATCTTTTCGTTCTTGTACGGACGAGAAAAGTTATTTACAACTTGCATTTTTGGATTCACTTTACCCTATTTTTTGACGATTTATGAAACTGAGTTATAAAATATCAGAAGAAAATCACGATATTTTCTTATCTCTGCCTTCTCATTTTCTGTATATCTAACAGACGAAGAATATAATGGCAAAATAGAAGTATATAGTGAAGAAATAAGTAGCAGTGATAAGTCTTTCAGACCAAGTAATTTTAATTATGAGGTTTTTTCGAAGTTATTTAATGAAATGTTAACTTTGACTGATGAATATGATATTAGTAATGTAAATTCTGAAAGTATATATTCTGAGGATTCTGAAAATGACATTTTAGATCAGGAAAGTAATGATGAGACTTTTGAAAAAAATGAAATTAAAGAAGATATAGAACAAACAAAATTTACACCATGTGTAATTATTGATGTTATTAGAGGAAAGTTTCAGTGGTGTGGTGAGACAGAAAAATTAAGATAATTGCGCAATTTATTTGGTATATGGTAAGTTGATAGAGACGCAATTAAAGAAGTCGATGGTATTTTATCAAAATTAGGAGTGTGTGATTCACATTTTCAATTTGACAATAAATATTTGCATAAATCACAAAGTAAAAAATTAAAGGACTTTATGGAGGGAATGATTCAATGGCGTCAATGTATTTCATGTAATAGTTATATTACTTTTTTTTCTCAAAGCATGAGGTGTAGAATACATTCTTGGCATTTGAGCAAACAAAGCATTCAAGTGGCCTGCATTGGGCAACATACCTGTGATGCATTACAGTCAAATCCACTTTTATGTGGTTTAACTTCTGATAATATTATAAGAAACACTCTATTTGTTATTTATGTTACGAAAATTTGAGTGGTTACATTTATCGTTGTCCTGGTAAAGGAAAGGGTGCAATAACATGTATTACTGAAAAATTATATGCTAATGATGCAACAAGAGGACTTGAGTGTTTAGGCAATTGGTTAATTAATATCATACATACCAATGATAATAGTGAATTTTAAGAGAAATTATTAATAGAAACTTTTAAAACTCTTCTTCCTTTTACATCTGTTTTAAATTCTACCGATTATTCTAATATTACTTCATAAACTGCCAATACATCAGTTACATTAACTAATCAAAAAATAATTTCCATTAGCAAACTCCCAGTTTATTTGTAATAAATATTTTTTTTATGAAAAATTTTAAAAAAAAAGAAATAGAAATAAATTTTGAAACAGATGATAACTTTGAACAATTTGGACGTGCATTTGGTCAAAAACTATGGAAATCACGATCAAACATCAATTTAAAAAAATCTGCTTTAGAATTTTCACTAACTATCTAAGAATATTACGAAGCATTTTCTGTATTTTTGAATAATTTTTTTTGGAATTATAGATGAACTGTATAAGAAAAATGGTAGCGCGCAACTTGAACGAAAAAGATTTAAACATTTACCTAAAATTACAAATCCTGAAGGTACAATAAAAATTGTAACTTTTATTGCATCAATGCTATTAGGGCTTTTCCTCACTTAAAAATTTGGTTACCTCGAATTTTAGCTAGTCTTAGTTATATGCCACAATTATTAGATTCTTTCTGACAATTATTAATAGTTTGTTGTGTGATATCACATAGTGATCAGCATGAACGAAGGCTTGTAAAGTGCGAATGAAAAAATCAGACCCTAAGAAACGTCTAATTAAGGATAAAAATGTTTGGAATTTGGCCGTTATCGATAATATAGATTTTAAGGAAAAGAGTTTTAAATTTGGAAATATCTATGATGTTACTCGTGATAGCTCACATGCTACTTTAAGAATGGCCTTTTAAGTCCAGTTGCCAATTAAAGTGGGTATTGGTCCAGAACAAATTATTGAATTAACAGCCGAAACTCCAATATTCAGAATGAATCAGAGAATTAATGAAACTTTGATGATATTTCAACAGATAATTTATGAATTGTTAGATTTTAAAGAAGTTGATAGCGAATTAATTTACAAGACAAATTTTAATGCAGAAACAATCAAACATATTCTACTTACAAAATTAGATCGTGGATGCCTTGGCCCATCTCCAAATGTAGTGATTTTGAAACCAGGAGCTAACCCAAATTCAGATGATAAAATTTTACGTGTTGCTGAAATGTACAAAGTAGATTTTGCATTAGAAAGCAATTCATTTCTTGATATTGTGGCGGACGAGGCAATTTTTCGCCGATTGATCAAGTGTCGAAAAAATTAGCCAATTATAAGACCACTTTTAGGTCAATGGCATACCTCGAAGGACTTATGTTCAGTTTTGTTAGTTCTATTCTCTAGCTATGGATTGTTGAGTTTGGTGTCTCGTTTAGGTGTTCGTTTTTTAGATAAATTTAAAACAGCAGTTGATTATCATTTAACAGCACGAGTTTTAGATCTTTTGTGAGTTTTGGTAGGAGTAGCAATAAATATTTATATTACTAAAAAAGGAATATCATTTTTTGAAATAATGGAGAGTGAAAATCACATTTGTCTTAAGGTATTAAAAACAATAAAATAAATAATTTATAATTTACAAAATTTAAATATTAAAAATTACAAACAAAATTATTTTATTTTATTTTTTCAATTATCAATATATTTAGATATGATACCTATATTACAGGTGGGCAGGAATTTGGAAAATACATCGAATGGGAATGCGTGTAGGAAATTTTGAATTACAACTAGATTCCTTATCTGCAGCAGGACCACTATATGCAAGTGCAGCTAAATCCAACTATACAACGGCAATAGTCCATTTTCTCGCTATTCTGGAAGCACACCCTTAATTAAAAGAAAGATTACATTATTGTAGTGCATTCAAGATTCCTTGTGACATTGATAAAAATCCTGAAAATGCACACATGTTTGCTTTAGAGACCTTTGGCGTAAGATTCATAAAGCAGAACATTAATGGGAATGTAATTGATGAAAAAAATCTTAAAAATCAAATAAAATCCTCCTAAAACGAAAGAGACAGAATAGATTTATTAATTAGCGAATACCTTGATGATCATTCAGTTTCATGTAATAAACGAGCTGTTAAATCACGCCAAGAATTGTTGTGGAATCTTATCAATGATCTCGTAACAATTTTTGAAATGGATGACCCCTTATCTCACCAATTATTTCAAGACTATACACCTACAGAAGTGCACTAGGAGGGAAGATGGGCTGGAATGAATCAAAGGAATATATCGTCAAGAAGTTTTAGAAATAGAGCGTAAAATTTCACAGGGCAGAAGGACAGTAGAGTCGTCAGAACAAAACTAAAAGATTATAATAATCAAAAGAGAAAAGAGAAAAAAAAGGCTGCCAAACCTGCACAAGAAGGAGGATCTAATGAAATACTACCCGAGCTACAACCCAAACAAAGAAAGACAACAGGTAATAGACATCGGACTACAAAAGATGAAATGGTTCTTTAAAAAAATATAAAGATAAACTTCCAGATGATGCCATTACTTCCGTTCGTGAGCAGTTGTCAGAAGTTTGGACTGTAAAAAAAGTGCGACATTGGTGGAATTATCACAAAAATAAATAATATACGGTATTACTTGTCAGTATTTTTCTTTTTGTATTGTTAAATTAGCAAAGATAATATTAATTAGTTAATTAATAAAATAAAAACCTTCATTTCTCACAAAAATCACTAATCTAACCGCTTATTTGAGACTAAGTATTTCGATTGCTTGCAAAAAAATACGTATAATTGGTAATTTAAAATGAAGTTTAGTTTTTATACAAACTTGCATCTGGGGGTTAAAGTGAAAATAATAGGAAAAGTCGGTCCAAAGTAAAGTTTTTGTAAAAGTGCTATATTACAGAAAGAAGAGCTTAAACGTGTAGGCGAAAATCTAAAGAAAAAAGTTTATTAAGCTTCGTGGGTTCGTTACGTTGAGAGAAAAATATGTTACATTAGAAGGTCATTTTCGATTATTTATCGTTACACCAATTTTTAATTAATGATCTGCACGTGATATGAAATGTCCACCGACTGATATTGTAAATTTATCTTAAACCTTAGTAAATACATAAAAGTTAAATTTTATTTTTTATTTATTTATATCTAAAAGTTTGAATTTCTAGATCAAAGTTACTAGCTCACAAAGTATGACAAATTTATTAATATAAAAGTAAATTCTTTTACGATTTAAAGCAATCAATTATACCTAAGCAAATATATATTAAGCAAATCTAGAATTTCTAAACCCCATTAAAATTGATTTTATGATTAATAAAATCTATACGTATTACTTATTTCTTGTTCCTTTTCAAAGTTGCTTTATTAAAATCTTCTATTCAACTGTAACCTAGATAAAAGATAGATCATAACTAAATAAAATAAATAAAAATAAAATATCATATTATTATATATCTTACCTTTCCTGTTTAATTCTTTCAACACATTTTGATTCCTTCCATTGCTCGTAGCAGTCCTTGTGAAGGTTGTGGAAAAAACCTTTTTGCACAAACAAGAAATGATAGCGATCTTCATCTTTCAAAGGTTTGTAACTATTATATTGAATTAAAGAACGTTAAATAGCCTGCAAGTGATAATCTTTTAAAAGAACATTTTTAGATACCAGGTAATGCAATTTCCTTCATTTGACCGGCGTTCTTGAAGAACTTTTTCTGAAAAGAACGCGTTATATCGTTTCATAATTCTACGGTTAGCCTATAAATAAAGTGTTTAACCATATGTTAATTTAATAATTTTATAATTTGTGATCACGACACATTTACTTACAAAGACGATCGGATCGGGCTTAGCATTCTTAAAGATTAAACGAAGTTCACAAGATAAAAGCGCTTTTTGATATATATACATGCTGTTTCGCTCTATGCGCAAAACTTTAAGGTAAACAAAAAGCTTAAGATATTTATGTTAAAATGTTGGTATTAGTATTTCAAAATATACAACTCATATTCATCCTCCTCCGAAATTATACTTACAATATGTTTACAAAATTTGCAGGAGCACATCGAGAAGTCTGGGCAAGTGCAGCTTGGCACATGTGAAATAATAACTGTGTAAACCTAGTAAAAATAAAAAAAAAATTCGATTAAGGTTAATCGATAAAAATAAACGATGCTTTTAGAAGATTTCTTAACAAATCGTACAATGCCTGTTACTCCCAAGATAACGAATTTTTGGGACAATTCATTAATGATAGATCGACTAATCAAGTACATCCGTTGTGATTCAGCGCGAATCATGCGAAGTTCAACAAGCTGCAAATTATAAAAATAAAATTAAAATTAAAGCTATGAACATCAAATATAATAATTATTAAAATTACTCACTTTTGGACAAGCACTTTTGACACGAGCTAGCCGTTTCTCTCTTTTCTTTTTGGACTTTTTCTTTGATCTTTTATTTTTTCTTACAACTTCATCATTGATTTCAGTTTCAGATTTTCTCTTTCTGCTATTATCTACCTCTTTATCAGAGCTAGCGGCAACTTCGTTAGATTCTATCTGTACTAACTCTTGATTTTTACGCCCATGATTTTCTTGCATCACCTTATCATTCCTTCTTTGATCTCTTTTCGTTGCTGCGTTATTATTATCTTCTACGACTGCTTGTCGACTAGGAATACGTTCTGGACCAGTTGTTTCATTAATATTTTCGATTCCTGCTGAAATATTTCTCGGGCTTCGTCTATGGCTAGAATGAGAAACAGTTGGTGACTGATAGTTAGGTGATTTAGCAACGGTCTGTTCATTAATTGTAGAAGAGCGTAAAGAAGGGGGTATATATAAGAGACTAGGTCTATTAAAAAGAGCCACTAAATAATCTCGTGTGCCTATATTCATTTTGCAGTTACGAAAAAGTCAATATATTATTTGTTTTAAATGTAGTAAAAATAAAAAGAATTATTTTGAATTGGGGAAATAATCGACCTTTTTATAGCGCGCTTTCTGAATTTCTGATTGGTTAATCCTTTAGGGAAGGACATTTATTATGTTACACAATGAGATAATTTTTTATACTTACAATAAATAGTTTACGTGAATACGTGGAAGGTCTGAATAGAACTAAATTGTCGAGAATTTACCTTAGAATTGAGAATATCAGCAACGCGTAATTTGTACTACCTGCATATTATTTTATAATCGGAAGTATTAATGGATATGGATTAGGGCATTTAATTGATAAAAAAAATCATAATCGATGATTTGGTCGATCTCTTACTTACTTGATCGATTATTTGATTGATCACGTGTGATCGATTTCTTAATCGATTGCATTGTTCGATCAAAGAATAAACTAAAAATCGAATTTTAATTGCTCGATCATTGATTGATTTATTAATATTAATATAAGCATCAAA